AGGTTTATGTTTTAAAATAAGAACAGCCAGTTTAATCAGCCAGTAATAATTAATGATACCATAATTGTAATGTTATTAATATAATAAAAATTATCCATTAACATTTTTTTTTAACCGTAGGGAGCAAATGAGCATGCGATTCACTTGATAATAGTGACTATCGCCGCCCTTAAGCACCCGCAACATCAGTGTAGTTAGTTGCAGGTGTATTGTTGGCCATTCAAAAAGGAGCATACTCTGTTCGTTAAGGTTTCAAGAAATTGTACATGATATCATCGCTAATAATTAATCCTGTGTTAGTATCATACTATTTTTTATTGGATATTTGATTATGTTTGATAAAATAATAGCTAAGCAAACAATACATGAAACCGTGTATTCAAATGCAAGTTTAATACAAAGAACTCATTGCGAACGTGCACAACAAAGGAGTAAAGAGATAATTTAATAGTAACTATACGTGCAGTGTTTTCATTATTTACTTTGATAATTATATGAACAACATTATACACAATAAACATTAAAATTTTGGAATATATGTTTATTTTTTTATAAAACCTAACCTAACCTAACTTTATAAAATTACAACCGTCGTCTACAAATATAAAACATTCCAAAAACATCACAGAATATACTTTGAAGTCCATGATATTTTTTTATTCTTTGAATACTACTGGGGTGATGAGAGATATTTTTTTTTTCAATGGACGAAAATTGAATGGTAACCCCGCCTCCATTATCGATATACGCTGCGAGGCACCAGTAAGGAATGACAGATGAGAATGAAGCAGTTCCCCCTGGAAACTATCATGACTAATTTATCGTTGAATTTGTCACAATGGGCTGACTGACCTGCCTTTTCATTCTCATCTATCACCTCTCACTGATACCCCGCCAGTGTATACCGATAGTGCAGGCGGAGTTATCAAGCCATTTCTACCCATTAAAAAAAATTCATTCTACACAAAAATTTTTATTTCAATTAAAAGCTACTATTACCGACAGCATAGCCAGCCGGCCTTTTATATATATATATATATATATATATATATATATATATATATATATATATATATATATATATATATATATATATATATATATATATATATATTTTTTTAGATATTTGTTCTTTTCTTTGACACCACTTTTTTGTTACTTTAAATTTATAGTTTACGTGACATGCAGCAGCAGTGTTTCCGAAACGATACGATATCATAACCTTCAAAAAAAGAACATATTCTTTTTAAAAGGCCGGCAGCACACCTGCAATGCCTTTGGTGCTATGGGTGATCATGGGCAGCGGTAGTCACTTACAATCAGGTGAGCCGAATGTTCGTTTGCCCCCTGTATTGTAAAAAAAAACACACACACACAGAAAACTATGATAAATTGTATATCACCGTAAAATAACAGACGCTTTGTTCAATCTAGTCATGTTTAATATATGAAGCGTAAAATTTTACCTGCTATGTCAAACTTCCAATATTCATCTATTTAATATTTTCCCTTCTCACTGTCAACAGAAGTGACTGATTTTCCTAGTGTTTACGCCAGCACTCTTTTATATATACCTACCTATACTTAGCCGTCAATATCGATCATATATTTATTATTATTTACGTGGAAAGAGATATATATAATTTTTAATTTGTCGAAATAAAACTCGACGAAAATGTAAACAAAGAATTGACTCGACCTACTAATATACAAATACGAGTACAACAAATATTAAAAACCGATTAATAGGTTTTTATATTTCAATTTGTTACTCATTATATTTAAGATAAAAACAAAAAAAGGAGTCTTTTTTATACAACTTAAAATAGCAAACAAGCTGACGGCCCATCTGATGTAAAATGCTAACCGTCGCCTATAGACATGAACAGTACAATGAACAAGAGAGTATACTGTTTCGCCCATGATACGTGTTGCCATTCCTGAGGACTATTAGGTGTTTCTTTCTCTGTACCCAGTAAATTTACTACCATATCCCACCCTTCAAACCGAAACACAGCCAAATGAAAACACAACTGCTTCACGGTAGAAACTCGAATAGGACAGAGGTGCCCAAGCAAACAACTTTTGTACAAAATCTCCCTCTAGTAAAAAGTTTACCGCTGGCCTTCTCCATTACAGCATACAACATTACATGACAATTAAGTAATCGAGCTTTTATAAATATCAAGAAATAACAAACACACTTTCACATTTACAATATTAATAAGGACAAATAAACAACTTTACTATGTAACTAATTTCAAAATTAAATTACTTTACATACATAGGAAGTAAATAGATTTATTATTATTACTATCACATAACACAATGGTTTCAAACACTAAAATAACTGAAGATATGATGGAAATTCATCCTCGTGTAACGTATTAAGATTTCCAATTACATTAAATAATAGACAATCTTGAGACAATAGAGAACGTTCTAGAACATATGTGATATTAATCTTTGGCGATATCTTATTACAACTGACAAGTAAATGTCAATACAAACTTCATATAGAACTTGGAAACAATTCTCAACTTCAACGACATTTTATAATAATAATAATAAGTGTCACATAATCACACCAATTGATTGAACCTCAAGCTCAAGATACCTTATAATTTTAGGCAATTTAAAATGAGTTATTGCAGTCGCTGGCGGAAGCCCCAAAAAAGCCAATTTATTTAAAAAACAAATGAAATGAAAGGTTACAATTAAAATCATAAGTACTCCTGATCGATATTAAATACGTAATAATTAAGTAACTTATTAATAAGAAATAAGTGTTTCAGTTAATCGTGTGGTCTCGGCATAGAATAGGCTACCCCTTCCTTTCTCGTGAGTGTCTTGAGTGCGAGAAATGGGCAGCAGCGTTCCTCTTAAAATATCTCTAAAGCCTAACTGCGGTTTCCAATTCACCTGCCAAGCATGGCAATTACTGGAAGCTTATGTTCAGCAGTAGATAGTTAAAGGCTAATGAGGATGAAGTATTTTAGTGGTTCGATGTTCGCGGAATCAATACGGGTAGCATTCGCTTGTACCATTTTCCTGAGTCACCTCTGGGGTGGTCTAGTAAAGCTGACGTTGCAATTAGTTAAGTGGCGATTTCCAGTTCTAGTCTAGTTTTCATTACAACAAATGGCAAACGAACTGATAGTCCACCTGATAGAAAGCGCTAAGCGTCGTCTATAGACATGATCAGTATCATGGGCATAACAGAGTATACTACGTTATGAGAAACCAAAACACCCAGTATTGAGCAAATTCAACAAAATTTGTTTTACTAAATTGGGTCAATCGCGAACCGGATCCGGAATATTATATGTAAAACAATGTGCCTATCGATGCAATTTAATAGTTTGTTTTGACAGGAATCCACAAGTGCTATAGTCAATACATTTCTAAAGGATTTAAATACTTTTTAAACAACTTCCAAAGAACAAGTTGTTCAATATATATATATATATATATATATATATATATATATATATATATATATATATATATATATATATATAGTATATTCAAATATATTAAATGTAATGTTAATGTATTTCTTATGTAATAATTACACATACACATAATTATTTTAGTATGTTACAATAATTATGTCACATATTTTTCACCACCACTGCCCTCCATACGCCTTCTGTTCTAACCTTATGATTAGCTGGTAAAGAATTCCACATGGCATTAAGGTCGTCACTTGTACAAAGTTTTATTGTGTAGTAAAGAATAAATAAAATAAACTTTTGTAGTAGGCTAAATTTGAATATACGGTGTCAATTTATAAATTCAAATAGGAAATCCTTTAGTCAGGTTGTATCTCTAAAATTCCTCTCTTATAATTATAAACTGTTGGTCTAGTGTAAATACATTAATCACAGTAACGCGAGGTAATCATAACTTGCCTGTTTCTCAGAGCTAGATAAAAATTTAACCTAGTCACATCCGGGAGCACCCTCCAAACTGCCCAGGTCCTACTCGGTTTACATAAGTTCGAATTCTAAATTAGCCCGACCCAGATTCCTACCCTCGTTTAAGGGATTAACGTGCTAAACTAAAATCCTTTGGAACTTGTCAATGTAAAGTATTAGCATAATATTAATATTATCAATTAATATTTATCAGTTTGGAATTCACTTTAAATAAATTATGCAAGGTCGATGCAAATTCTTGACTTCTTTAATATAAACAGAAATTAGGATAAAACTGACAAGAATACATATTTTTAATTGAATTATACATACATACATATATATCTGTCACGCCTGTCTCCCCATTAGGGTAGGCAGAAACAATGGAATGCCAAATGCTTCGATTCAAACAAACCTCTTTCGCTTCTTCCACATTCATCAATCTATCTATTGCATTATCTATCCTATTAATAAACAACCGCGTTCGTCATTCACTCATCCTCCCAAAAATTTGTCGGTGTACTATGTGCATTGTGTTCGCCTTTTACACCATATTTTTATATGGTCAATAAAATTATTTAAATAAATAAATAAATAATTCTCGAATATTATAATCATATTATAACTGAAATGTAAAAGTTGGTGATTTGAACGTTTAAATATTTGAATATTTTAGAATTTTAAATTAAATTTAGTGTACAGGAGGACCATATGCTAGCAATTTTTCATCATTTCAGTTTCCAATCTTTTCTGGACCCCTGTCCATTTTTTTTTTGTTTAAGCATGCACTGGGAAACAAAGAAGAATCAAAGTTTATATTAAACAAAGATATTAAATTTAAAGTAATTTATCTGAGATATTCCAGCGCCTACTCGAGAGAGGTTAGGAAACTATCCTATTATTTCAAACACATAGTTAACTTTTATCTTAATTTACGTTAATCGGTTAACTAAAATCGTCGACTTAAGTTCTAATGCAGCATAAGATATTGAAATTAATGTAAAAACAATTATTTCTTAATTATATTTCTCAATAGAATACATTAAACTTATGACAATTTTTTTTTGTATTAAATCTTACCTGTCTACCGATATGCAGACCAAAACATTAGATGATAGGTAAAGGCCAAACGCTCGTAGCACTAAAAAGAATTTACACGCCAGATTCCCCGCCAGCCATGCGTTGGTCGTTCGCCAACCAATCTGAAAAAGAAATAAAAACGTTGTTTATTGCTCAAAATTTACCAATAAACAGTATCTGTAAAATAATACTAATTCAGAAGACTCGCTGTCTGTTAAATTTTAAACCCATGTTCAAACTGAGGAGAATTCTTCTACTTTAAAACCTTATATTAATCTATGACTATAATATAATATATTTATTTATTTATTTTACACTATAAACAAATAAATATCGAAAATTATGGTATAAACAAAAAAGTAACCGACAGAGCCCGAAGGATAAACAAGTTAAATTGACAACAGGCTCATCACATAACTCGAAGAACCAACAACCGACGGGGAAGAAAGGTTCTTGAGTAGCGACCCCGTACAGGCAAACATAATGTAGGATAATTTTGTAGCTAAGATACAAGCGATTGCTATTTCAAATAAAACTAATAAAAAAAAGCATACTAATCTTATTAATACTCTTATAATACCTAATTGGAAAAACAAGAGAGAACTATGCTTGAAGTTTCTTTGCGTGCTTGAAGATATTCGCGGAAGAACCAAAGTGATCGACATAGCCGAAAGATAAGCAAGTTGAAGTGGCAATTGTCTGGTGATGGAGAAGAAACGTTTTTGAGTGGCGACTCCGTACAGGCAAACGACCCCCCCCACACTAGATGATGTTACTACATCAAATGCATTGCAGGGAGTCAGTGGATGCAGCTGGTTCAGAACCGTTCCTTATGGCAGTTTAGGCCTATGTTCTAAATTACGGCTTTGGCCATCACAAAATTAACGCACTCCACACACATGCCGTACATGTAAAATTTCGAACCTTCCATACTAATGTAACAGCTGAACTCTCCACGTCAGTATATAATTTTTTTTCAAACATGCTTGGAAATGTGAGCATTATTTTGATAATCTTCTTCGAGATAAATCAAAATTGCCGTACTGACCAGATACATGCGGGCAGCGGTCGGCAAAAGTTGTATGAAAATCCATATGTGTCGTGTTTTGCGGCCAGATAAATTACTATGTAAACTCATATCTGTCCTGTAATTTAAAAATGGAATGACCTATTAAGGAGGTAACTAATAAAAAGTTTTATTTAAATTTCGAACTGGCTTGCAAATAGAAAGCTGTTTATTGAAAAAAAAAAACAAAGGAACATTATGGAGCGAGAAAATTATTATTGTAATTCGTCATTGAACTTAAAAAGTAAAATTGTGTTTTTGATTTTCGCGCATTCTTGCAACTAGGCTTTGATGGACTCACGTATGTGTGCCTCGGCTACGCCTCAGCCGCTGTAATGTACTATTTTCTCGTTTACCGACCCATGTTCCCTTATGAAGTTCCTATATTCAGTTTAACTGTTATATACGCTATAAGGTAACAGTGTTTACTTGTTACCTTATAGCGCCTTAACGGCTCAGCCAATCACTGTGAAATTTGACATATACATATTATATGGGATAAAGAAGGATATAGGCTGTTTTTATCCTGATCAGTTAACATTTTCCGGACATGCATACGAAGTCTCAAATAAAAGCTAGTAATCCCATAAAGAAATGCTAATGATTTTTATCTCACCCTGTATGGTAAAGGAATGTACTCGAGAAATGGCTTCAGTCACAATATTCAGAAGGAAAATAAATTGTATAAAGGTCGATGTCGTGGATGGGCGGAATAATATTGGTATAAAATGCCACTGGACATTTATCTAATCCCAAACTAAGCACAGTTTATACTTTGAGTATTAGACATCTGGTACCATATACTTAATACATTCCAATGTATTAAATATAATATTATACAGCATATATATAACATAATATAGTTCATGTATAATATTACTTATATTTATATATAAGTACTAATAACCATCTAAGTAGGAGGCCTAATTTTTTTTTATTATTATCAGATAAAACAATTCATTCAACACAACCGATGGAGAAGAAAGGTTCTTGAGTGGCGACCCCGTAAGAGCAAACGCAGTGTTAGACGACCCCGCACTATATGGAGTGATATCAGTGGATGCAAGAGGATGCTCAGGAATATTCTTTACGCTATAGAGGAGGTCTATGTTCAGCAATGGATGGATAATGACTGAGATAGATATCTTAGTTGAAAACAATTTATTACAACTTAACTTTTATAAAAAACTTAACTATAAGTTATATAAGCTTCATTCACAAAATCACGTAAGTAAATTTATTCTAAATGACTTTTTGAAATCTACTATTTGTACGTAATTATTTACTATGCCACTGTATTAAGGTAACTAAAGGAGATCTCTTTCAAAGATATAAAAAAAAGTAATATGTTATCCCTAAGAGATAGACATAAAACATTGCGGCTTTTTTGTAAAGTTTAAGGTGTATAATACTGTAGTATATTATTTTGATCTATCTCGTAGGGTTCAGCCAGCGTTTGCAATGGAAACACAAGAAAATGTGTTTATTTATGACATTAGAAACCTCTAAAATTATCAGTGTTTCTCTACTATATGATGCATGTATTATACATATAAACCTTCCTCTTGAATCACTCTATCTATTAAAACAAAACCGCTTCAATATCCGTTGCGTAGTTTTAAAGATCTAAGCATACATAGGGACAGACAGTGGAAAGCGATTTTGTTTTATACTGTGTTATTATTCTTATAATTTAAGGACTCCTTTAAATTATGGTCTAATTTATTTATTAATCGAGAAATTATATCCGCACAAGTTCTGGTTCCGTATATGTTTTTTGCTGCGAATGTGATTGATTTACCTTCGCCTTGCGTGTTACTGTACTGTGAAAAACCAAATTGTTTATATATTTGCTAAAAAAATGTTTTCTTAGCAATTGATATTTTACTTTATGGTGTATTGAAAGAGTATTACAATATTGAAACAATTTATATGCACCAGTGATGCACTGAGCCTTAGTATAATCTGGAACAATTTTCTTTAATATACGTACATGAAGACGATAGATGTCCTCAAGATACGTCTTGTAAATACGACCACAAGTACTTAAGCTGTATGTTATTGAAACGTCGGTTACAGCTTTATAAAGCAGAAGTATTGTTTTGAAGGGACGCGCTTTCGAATAGTTTGCAAGTTAGTAAGAAAAGCTTTCAGTCTGTCACAAACGCCGTTAATGTGAACATATTAATTCAGCAATGGATGGTTAATGACCGATACGGTAATGATGATGATGATGATATAGACATACTCGTAAAAACTAGCATTTGTATTATGCAGTCAAAGAGTTTTTAACTCTTATGTCCCAAACAAAGTACTTTATATCAATATCCAAAACCGAATCCACTATGTTTTTAACCAACTTGGAAAAGATTTAGGTGCTCAATTCATTTGAATTTTTAGGACTTTATTGCGCACTCAATTACGTTGCCCAATCTAAACTGATTTTCATAATTCTTTCTATAATTGAGAAGGTTTACTCTCGCGTTGATGTATACATACATATGTATCTGTCATTATATTAGATAGGTAGGTAGATAAAACAATGTAATGACAAATGCTTCAATTCAAACAGACCTCTTTCGCTTTCTCTACATTATTCAATATATTCATATACGCGCAATTCTTCCTTCATCTGTCCTCCAGAAATTGCCAAAATATAATATTCTCTAATTTTGATAACTTCCGTAACGCAACGGTAAGCATGTTGCTTTGCATAATAAGGACCTAGGTTCAATTCTCGATCGGATCAGTTTAGAAAACACTTTTTGATTTGTAACGGATCTAAGTGTTCTAGATTGTATCCGCAGATGTCCATTGTCTGATGCTTCATAACATTGATTATTTTGAAATTTGTAAAGTTGCGTGGTGCTTAAATAATAAAAAAAAAATATATCCGACAAAAAAACCAAGTATAATAATTAAAAAAAACCAAATACAATAATTGTGACAACCAATTATTTTGATCTAAAACTAAACCGAATAATGAACTGATCGATATAATATTTATGGGGGACCAATCTGTAAATATATCCTTTCAAATAAAAAAGAATTTTCCAAATCGGTGTACAACTGACGGAGTTATGAGTTAACAAATTAAAAAAAAAAATACTTTTGAAGAATTTCCTCTCTGAAGTCGCTTGAAAATTGTTCCAATTAAAATCCTTATTTTTGCCTTACTTTTCTATATTTTATAATATAAGTATAATGCACAATTTTGCGAGGGTGGCATTGTAACGTGAAAATCGTCTCAGCTGATTCATCTATCCCTTCTAAATTTACTTCTAATGCTCACTGTTCGACTTTAAACTTTCTGTTACGATTTACAAGGTTCAAATTTCTGCGACTACTGAAAATTTAGAAACAAGGGTAGACAATAATACATAGTGATATTCAATAGTAAAGAAAGATTCCGTGACTTATCCTCAGTCAAACTAATAGAAATGGACGAAGTTTTTCCAATTAATTCTCTTGAGCTGGATATTCTAAAATTGTGCTCTTTATTATTTCGTTTTTATGAAACTTTAGAGATAAGCAAAAAACGGCCCACTTGATGGTAAGTGGCATCGCCTATAAACATAAAAAACATTATCATCGCCATCAGCATTTATGCCGTTAACTTTCCACTGCTGAACATAGATCTCCCCCATAAAAGGAGCTTTTGCTAGTAGTTGTCACATATGGCAAGCGGGTAGGCAACCGCAGTTGGGCTTTTGGTGATGTTTTAAGAGGGACGCTGCTACTCATCCTTCGACCATTAAGTTCTCATAGTCGCTTTTTACTACACCTACTAGAAAGAAAGGGGTGGCCCATTCTATCCCGGGATCACATGACAACATAACCGTCACAAAATATACTGTGACGCTCTATAGGCCTTTCATGCATTACCATTTTTTAGAAGTTCTTATGCATTCGTACTTTGTAATTCTGCAATTCAAAACGGAACAAAACCGAAACACAATTTGGCGGCAAAATCGCGATTGGGACAGTGGTACGCAAGCGGTTTGCTTTTGTACAAAATCTCCCTCTGTTTAAAATTAATGTTTGCTCACGAATAAT